GGAGTTGTGTGAGAGATTCTAAGTTATCACCCTAATACAGGATACAAGATGATATTGGGCTACTTGAATGCCAGAGGTATTCATATCCAAAGTAAGTCAACAGATGAGCCTATGGCTGCTTATATTAACACCAATTGCAGTTGTATATATAATTCAATTGATAACAAATAGCAGTTTACCACTTATATGCAATGTAAAGGGATCACAAAGAGAATTAAATGTCATACCGTTGAAAGTAAATTAAATGTTTTAATATATTGCAGTTGCATAGCAATATTATAATCTTATTTTAACTGTCATTAGTACACCATGGACTCATTGACGTGAGTGTTTTAGGTGTATAGTTAATGTTTGAAATTTTCTATTTCATTATGTTCATCACCTCCAAATCAAACATGTTTTAATTATGAATTACTTAATTTTTCAAGGAAGAAGAGTGCAAGAAGCAATGTACCGAGTTGACCAGCAAGGAATTTTGATGCACACTTTCCAGCTTTGCACTGTTCGGCGTAGAAGATACTCTGTTCCAGCTCCAAACAGCTTGTGGCACATAGATGGAATCCATAAACTTGTACGGTCAGAATTACTTGTTTGATAAAAGAAAAGCAACGTTTAAGATATTTCCTGAACAAATAGAAATAACTAGACCAGTAAAATAAATAGACCAGATAAATGCTTGAGTGTTTGATTAGTATCTGGCAGATACTAATTAATATTTAGGATGATTTAACTTGTTTGATTAGTATCTCCCAGATACTAATCAAACAAGTTAAATTGATTAGTATCTCCCAGATACTAATCAAACAAGTTAAATTGTCCTAAATCAAGCATAAAAAAATGTTCCCTCTTATTCAGTGAGCATCTATTTTGAAAATTTAAATCATTCTGTTTCTTACGGGTCACACCTATTACAAAGCCTATAAACCTATTAAGAAAAATACATTTGTTTCATGTTTGTAAATGTTCTGTAGCTGCTTTATTATATTCACATAATGAAAAGTATGTAGGTTAATTGTGAACATTAAAGGAAAAATTGATTCATAGAAATTGTTTGGTGGTCCCATATTAATGTAATGTTTAAAAATGAGGAATTAAGTTGACACTGCAAATACATGTACTCTTTAAAAGCAGCTTATCAATTTTTATAGTGAATAAGGGAGACCAACAAAGACAATGACATTAAAGTTTTTTAACTTGTCTTTGCCTAAGTGAGAAATGTACTCTTAATGGAACTACTGTGTTTTAATGTAAACATTTACTCTGCTGAATAAGAGCACTGCGGTTATGATTTTCCTTCTCTGTGAATTCCAGGCCTGCATTCAACAAACAAAAGGAAGTTTCTGCTATCAGTGCTAATCAAAAATGTTTTTGTTGTCTATATAGATGCCAAATTGTTGTTCACGGGGGCATTGACGGCTTTAGCCGCTTCATTGCTTACCTGACTGTTGCTACAAACAATCGTGCTACAACAGTTCTTGACAGCTTTCTTGAAGCTATGAATACATATGGAGTGCCATCTCGTGTTCGTTCAGACAAAGGAGGGGAGAATGTACTAGTGGCACACTTCATGGTCTCAACCAGAGGCCAAAACAGAAATTATCACATAACAGGAAGAAGCGCACATAACCAAAGGTATTTAAATTAAAGTCTTGATGTATTCTCCATTCTCCATGTTTTCATACTGACTACTTCCATGGAAGTTGCTACATTTCTCAAAATAGTATGACAAGTAACCGTCGTGAAATCCCGGGGTCAGTAGAAAGGTCTGCATCTCACAATTATGAACTCAATGTCCACAGAGCAATGACTGGAGAACAGGGTGGCGTTGTTACACTAGCTGTTGTTAATGTAAATACAAACACCACTTCCCCTGGATTTACCAGTATGGATTTACAGCTCTAAAAGTTGTTAGCCCCTTCAGGCTGATGTCATGATCAGGGACAGATGAGTTTAGCCATGTCTCACAGAAAATGAGAATGCAGCAGTTTCTGGTTTCCCTTTTAGTGGTTAAATCCAGCTACACTTAGTCCAACTTGATTCAAGGGATCATTTGGAAAGGGTTAGCTTTTAGCTTAGCTGCAAGTCCACCACGACACCCTCGCTTTTGTTTTCTCTCACGTCTTCTCCGGTGTCTCCATGTCTCCATGGGCCTGGGCTGTTGAAAGATTCTGCTGCTATGTAGTTAGCTTGATTCAACTGATCTATAACTGACGTAGCAGTCCAAGGCTTTGTAAAGTTGTCCATGTCTTCTTATTTATGAAGTCCAGATGACTGAATTAGCTCAATATTAATTAACATAGTCTGACGGTCATAGACTGTTCTTACAGTGTTTCTCTGAGCTATTGTAGAAGAAGATATTTAATTAAGTAATAAATTTGTTGTATTACCGGGAGCTGAAGCAGCCGCAGCCATATAGAATGCCGCCATGGCAACAAACTTAACTTTAAACCATCAATTTCTTCACATTTATAATGACTAAAACACAGTTACATAAAATGTAAATGTAGATTCCTTAGTATGTCTGATGTCCCTTTAAGGCACACAAATTAACAAATTATGTTAAGAGTTAATGTTATCAATACATTAGCAAAAATAAAAAATAAATAAAAAATCATCATTCAGTTTTGAAAGGCACACTCAGAATGTATTTTTAAAAAAATTGCTTACCACTTTCTATGAATATGCGGAGGACACTCGTGATCAGACAGTGATCTTCCAAAGAGACTATGTCCTCATCTATGTCTTCATCATTATGCCAGTTGATGTTATCAGTTATCATCTGCCCCAAAAAATGAAATGCAAAAACATTTTTTTTAAATGTAAGTCAGTGAAGAAATGAAAAAGAACCGTTTAAAGGTAGGACTAAAGATGTGTAATGACTTGTGTTTAGTGTCCGAATGTGCAAAAAGACATTAAATACAAGAGTAAACATTTTCATGCACTGGTATGTACTGTGCTGTAATCTTAAAAAAAAAAAAGGCTCCAAAATGGAATAAAAATGAGTGTGCCTCATTTCTCCAGTCTAGTAGAACAATTTCATACTGATTCCAAGTTATTCTGTCACAAGACTTGAAAGCTATTGAAGGAAAAACATTTTTAAAATATAAAAATATCTTAAATATATAAAAAGGAGTCAAACCAAATAAGAATGAGTGTGTCTCATCTATACAGACTAGCAGAATAATTTCACACTGATTTGGAGTCAATAGCTCACATGACTTGGAAGCCTTTGAAGAAAATTACTAAATTCTGACAAAACAAATTTGCTAAAAAAATATATATAAAGGGTTAAAAGGGAATAGGGATGAGCGTGCATCATCTATACAGAACAATTTCACACTGATTTTGTGAAAATCGGTGTGAAATTGATTTCACGCTGGTCCAAGTCGTGTTCATTGGGAACCACGACTTGGACATCTAATCATCAAATAGGATGACATATTTCATATGTCTCATAAGGTATATGAGTCATGGTTTCTTACATTTTGACAAAATTATGAAATCAACAGTTGCAATTATGTTATTCACCAATATGAATTTGCTTAGTTATGGAAGTAAATATGTGCCATCAGAATTTGAATA